CTTTGCCATGTTGAACCTCATCAGGTTCACCCAGGCGCACCTTTCTAGCCTCTCAAGGTCCCTCTGAATGGCATCCCTTCCTTCAACCGTGTTGACCGCACCACTCAGCTTGGTGTCGTCAGCAAACTTGCTGAGGGTGCACTCGATTCCATCATCGCTGTCATTGATAAAGATGTTAAAGAGCACTGGTCCCAAGACAGACCCCTGGGGGACGCCATTCGTTACCGGCCTCCACCTGGACATAGAGCCATTGATGACCACCCTCTGTCTGCGGCCTGCTTTGTCTGAGTTTAAACATTGTAAGTTTAAGCATTGCAGTTTAAACATGAGTTTCTGTTTTGGCTGTAGAACAGTGTCTTTTGGTTTTTGGAGGGTGGACATGGGCTAACAGGACAGTGCTGCTCCTGTAAAATCAACTCTTGATCTGTTGTTGCAGAGACGGAGCCTGGGTGTCCATGGAATGGTGGTGAGCATGGAGGGAAATGGAAAGGTAAGAAGCTCTTGTGAGCTGTCATGAAGGGGCATGTGTGATGGAGGAGAGAGGAAATGACATAGCAGATCTGTGCTTACTGCAGAAATGGCACACCATTGTAGCAGCAGAAGGGCAAATTGAAGAAACTACGCTTGAGGAGCAGAAGTTTGTGGTTGGCTGTGCTAAAGTCTTCTTCCAGAGAGATGCTCTTCCTGTCTGTCTTGTCTCTTTTCTGTCAGAAGCTGATGCCTGTGGCCTTCCTCTGAAGCACAGCCATGTGGAAAGCCAGGGGAGGAGTAGCACAGCACAGGAGTGTAGCACAGCACCCAAGAGAGGTACAGACACACAGCAGGCATCTGGGTTTGGTGCACTGTCTTTCTAGTTAGGCTTTCTCTCTGGTCTTTCCTGGGACTGTTCTCATTGCGTGTTGCTTGGGGTCTTAATCCCTTGGGATTTACAGTTACCTTTCTTGCCCTAATTTGTAATATGAACCCAGCATTCACCCAAGATCCCTTACCATGAACATCCCCTTAGGGATATTCTTGCTTTTCCCAGCAGTGGTGACCAGCTCAGATGTGCCGGAGGATGTCACGGACATCCAGGGTTTGCTCTCTTGGATCAATGGTGAGTTTGGGGGCTGCAGAGCTGCAGGTGAGTGTTTGCACAGAGTGGATGTGGGAGGGCTATCATCGCCATTTTGGGGGATGTTTTTGCATTGCCAGACGTGGCAAGAGCTGTTGAGGTCCCCCATGAGAACCCCAGCAACCCTGCCCCAGGATGCTTCATCGCTGAGCTCCGTGACAACCCCAGGGACAGCAGAGAGCTCTGCATGGAGGCACAGGCTGCCACCGGGATGCCCACCAACCCCTTCTGGGGGCTTCCACCATCCCCTGGGTTCCTGTCTGAACTGCAGAGTGGGTTGTCGCAGCTGCACCCTGTCGTGCCTTCAGCGAGTGCCTGGCTCAGTCCACTGCCAACCTCCCTGGCTGTCACCACACCTTCCTTAGTCCAAACAGCACAGCCCATCGAGGAGGTGCAGCAAAGGGAGCCCCAAGTGGCTCAGGCTCACTCACCCCTGTCACCAGGCTCTGTCCCCAGCCGGATGGCAGAAAAGAAGGGCAGCACCAAGTGGGCCAAGCGCCCTGAGCCTGCTGGCAACACCCAGAAAGGGGAGAGCTCCCAGCAGGAGTAGCCTACCAACAGCACTCCAGCCAAGAAAAGAAAGCTGCTGCCACATAGGGAAAGAACAGAGAGAAAAGGCCGCAAACACCTGTGCCAAGTGAAGCTGTCTGGGCCCAGCGCAGGAGCAAGCAACAGTGGGCAAGTGGGGCCAGCAGCAGTGGGCCTTCTCAGCAGGAAGCCACAAACCCTGCAGAAAGCTGCAGGAGACTCAGAGCACGTGTGATGCCCAGATGGAAATGCAGATCCAGTGTTTGAGCAGCGCCTGGCCATGGAGTGCTGTACAGTCCAGGTGCTTAAAGTCACAGCCCAGTTAGAGAGGCTGACATATGTCCTGGGGCCTAAAGATACTGCCAGAGAAGACAGGACTGGCCCTAGGGCCTAAAAATACAGCCAGAGAGACTGGCACTGGCCACAGGACCTGAAGCCACAGCCTGAGAGGCCAGCACCGACCATGGGGATTAAAGCCCCAGCCCCAGCCAGAGAGGTCTGCACTGGCCCTGGGCCTAAACCTGGAGCCACAACACAAGAAGCCAGCACGAGCTTTGGGCCTAAAGCCACAGCCTGAGAGGCTGGTGCCGGCTCTGAAGTCCGAAGCTCCAGCCAGAGAGCCCAGCACCAGCCCTGGGCCATAATGCCACAGTTATAGCCACAGAGGCCAGCACCAGACCTGGGGCTTAAAGCCACATCTACAGCCAGACAGGCTGGCACCAGCTGTGGAGCCTAAAGCCAAATCCTGAAAGGTCGGCACCAGCCCCTAGGCCTAAAGCACAGCCAGAGAGGCCGGAACCAGGCCAAGGGCCTAAAGCCACATCTGCAGCCTGAGAGGCCTGGGGCACACAGGTGTGCCTTCCTATTGGCTTCTGCTGATTCCTATAGGACTCCATTGACCACTCTGAGGTCATATTGGTCCTTACTGTTTTTTACTTAGCCATACTGGACTTTTCTGGTCCATACTGGTGTGCACTCCTCCCAGTTCCTACTAGTTCCTCTGGGACTCGGCTGACCACTGCGAGGCCATATTGCATTTTTATTGGGCTGCACAAGACTCATCTTCAGTTCTCTGTTGCTTTACTTCAATTAACCCCCATTCAATTAACCCCATTCATCCCACTGGGTGACGCTGGTGTTGGTTTCCTAAAATTTGGATCTAGGAGGTGACCACTCCCTTTGCTTATGATGAAAGCACAGAAGTGATGCAGGCACTCGCTGAGGCCACAATGGTTGCTGGGGTGGGAGCGTTTGTGCCACAGCTGGTGAGCAGAGCTGGTGCTCTGGTGAGCGTGCTGCACACGGAGACTGAGCTCTGTGTTTTTCTTGAGAGAGATCACCCTGTGAGAGCCCATTGGAAGCACCACTGCAGTGTGTGTGAGCTGGGCACAGCACAGACTGAGCAGGCTGACCAGGTGAGCTGGGTTTGGTGCTGGGTGGTTGCCAGGGGGTTTCTCAGCAGAAAAACTGGGCTGGGGAGGAGTTCCCAGCTCCAGCGGTGCCCTTCTGAATGGCTGTTTCCAGAGGAAACATGTTCTTCTTGAGATTCCATCCCACATTTCAGTGAGGATGATGAAATGTCATTCCTCCCCTGGAAAATTGCTGCCAGGCCCCCACCTTCATGTCAGACCTAAAAAAGGAAGCAGAGCACAGACTTCATAGAGTGCAACTTGTGTCTCACTGCTCCATGGATTGCTTGGTGTGCCATACCCAGCAGGTGTTTCAGCAAACTGCGCTGAAGTCACGGCAGAGAGCCGGGTGCTCAGCTGGGCACATGGACGGTCAGCACACCTGTGGGGGAAAAGGGGACCTGGGGGCACTTGCTGACAGAAGCCATGGCAGTCAGACACAAGCTGCAGCTAGTGATGGGCAATTCTTGCAGACAGCTGATGTCCAAGCATTGCCCTCAAGAGACTACATTGCATGGCAGAAGAAAGCTG